CTCCCGAGTTCGGGGCTCTGCTGCAATGTCTGCGAGGCTGACTTTGAGCGCCTCGCTCGCCGCCCGCCCGCAGCCGCGCTCCTCCCTCCGCCACCGAGTCCGCCGCGGCCCAGTCCCTCCCCTCGCCGCTGCACGCCATTCAGCTCCTCAGCCAAGTTTCTTAACCCTTTTTTACCCCTCCTTCCCATTGTCACGGGGCGGGAGGAAGCCACTCGGGTCCCGGCAGCTCACTGGCGCTGTGGAGCCCCCTCTGTTGTGTTGTTTTCTTCCCTGATCGCCCTCCGGATGGCCGGGCGGGGGCTGCAGGGCCCTGAGGCGGCAGGAGGACCGCGCCGGCCGGGAGAGGTGGGCGCCCCTCGCGCCCCAGCGATCTCCCTGGGCTCCCGGCTCTGTCCAGCCGCCCCGGACCGCCGAAGGCGCCTGGACAGCTCCTCCCTGGGGCCCGGGGCGTCTTTCTCGTCACACAGGCCGAAAGCTCGCGTTTGGGGCACAGCCTGGGAGCCGGGACGCACAGGGTCCCCGCCTGGATGCTGGCGCCTTAGGGGTCCCCTCCTCCCATTTCACCCCGCAACACGCGGTCCCTTGGCTCCCCTCACCCACCTCCAACTTCCACCACCTTGTAACCTGTGTGTCCTGCTTTAATCTTGTTGGGGAAGGGGACAGGCACTAACTCCAGGTCACTTTGACCCCACGCCCAACTCGTAGTAGGCACCCAGGAATAAATATGGAGTGACTCCAAGAGAAAACTGGGATGGAGACCTGAAGAGTGCCCCGTTCAGCTCCTTGGACGGACGTAGGTCCCAGGAATAGGGTTTATCTTCAGCTGCTTTGTCACTGCGAAGTCTCCAGCAGAGTCTGTCAGCGAATCTACTTACTCATCCCCGGGAGGAATTCGACCCTACAAAACAAGGCAAAAAGGAACAGGGCTGCCACTTCTTCGGCAGCTCTCCTCGGTTCAGTCTCTGAATAAGAAATAACAATTACATCACGAGGCCCGGGCGGCAGCGCTGTGGAGCCTCTGGGTTTCCTGCAGCCTAATCTCTCTGAACCCGCCTCTAAATTGAGGTTATATGGATTCGCGAACAGAGAAAGTGGAGGGAGGAGAGAGTCATACGAAACCATAATTTCCCCTTCTTGTATTTGCTGTTTTAAAATCTTGTCCTCTTTACGCTCCCCAAACATCTAACTAGAACGATTCTCCCTCAACACCTCCCCAGATGTCAGGTTTCTTTTTGACTCTAGCATCTAGCATTTAGTAACTCGCCATGAAAAAAATTACCAGGGGAAATGAGTGCCATTGCTGAAATTGTTTGTGCTTGATACAAAAACGCCAGAGGACAGCTTAACCTCACCCTAAACTCTGAAATGGCATGCCCGTGTTAAAACACTTATAACACAAAACAAATGAGTGTATGAAGAACTCTAGTCTTATATGTAGGTTTTCATAGTCTTTAGAATTCTATAGCATTTGAAAATAGAGTTGCTAGTGTAATTTTAAAAAATGTATTCAAGTCATAAACAGCCTTCTATGCCTGTTATATAATGGCTGTAATGTGCATTCAGAATTTCCTTCAACCTTTAAAGATATGAATGAGTGTTTTGGAATATTTTCACAATCTTAAAAGCAAATTTTCAAATTACTGCTTCATAAATCTGGCACCTAGCACAGTGCTGGGCACATGGTAGGACTATTTTGCTTAATGGTGATAGTGCATTTTAGAGCAATTATTTTACATCACGCTAGCAATTCAACTGTGCAATCTGTTGCCATCTTATATAGTTTAAATCTCATATGATAGCTTATTATTTGCAGCTTAGTAAAGTCTGCTGTTCTATAGAGCATCATTTATCCAGGATTGATGCAAAGCAAACTATTCCAGTTAAGTGATCTGCATAATTAGGGCTTGCCCCTCTAAAGAGTCAAACTTTTTAAAAAATTGCTTTAAACTGTTACACAAAGATTTTCTAATATGTATTATAAATGTGTCTATTTTCTTAAGCAGTTTATTGGACTTCATTTGGCTTTCTCTTGAAAATTCGAGGTTAATTATATTAAAATTATTTATTATAGTAGGTTGTAGTGGATTCAACAAATACATCAAGTTCCCATTCAATATAAGGTTTCTTCCTACGTGTTAGGGATGCTCCCGGGAGGTACATAAGCTACTCTCACTCTACTGAAGGACTCTGGGACACTATGACCTGGTGATTATCTCTGCCTTTTATAGTTTCTTTCTCCCCCCTTCACTAACCAACAATCTGTTGTCCTTTCTCTGTTGCCAGCATGCCTGCAATACTCTCCTGCTCTTCTGATTTGGCAGCTTCTGGTCTGGTGCTGACTGAGAATCCAGATAGCCTCACTTGTCACAATTCAATCTAAAGTAAAACTAAGTAGGTTCTATGTATAGGGCTGATGTGCTCACCAAAGGAGTAAGGCACATGAACCTTAGTGCATAGATTTTGGGACATATATTTGGACTGCTCAAATGTTGTTTGAAAGCATATTTTTTCTTCTTTACTGGGTTTTCGACTATTGAGGATGGTAAATAAACAACCTCCCAATAAATGAGATTACACAAATAACCCAACAAGCCAAGCAAGCATTAGTCCTGCCTTTCAATACTAGCGTTAAAAAGTCCACTGCCGTGTGTTAGATTACTTAACAAAGCTACTCACCTATTTTTAATATATCTTCTCAATGCCACAGAAATCCAGTCATTGAAATCCTGGAATCTTTTTGATAGTGCATTAATGTTAAGTAAATTACACACCTTTTGTGGACTTTATTTTTACTCAATCATGCTAATTGGGGCCATTGTGTTGTTTTTATCGTTTTTAAAAAATCAATACCTAAATTTCCTAAGAAAGTCATTGTAAAGATACTGAGGCATGTAAGTCATATAAGAATGCCTGTTCATTAATTTGTATTTTTAAATTTTTATTTTTCAATTATAATTGATATTCAATATCACATTCATTTCAGCTGTACAGCATAATGCTTAGACATTTATATAACTTATGGAGTGTCCCTCCAATAAGTCTAGGCCCACCTGTCACTATACATAGTTATTACAATATTATTGACTATATTCCTTATGCTGTACTTTACATTCTCGTGACTATTTTGAAACTGCCAATTTGTACTTCTTAATCTCTTTACCTTTTCTACCCACCCTCCACTCCTTTCTTAGATTTGTATTTAAAGACAACTCTCATTTTAACTAATTGTGATGTGAAAATATGCCCTTCAGTTTATATACTTAAAAACACAAGTATTTCTATGAACCAAGGGTTCCTATGGGATCAGATACTCATAGTGCAGGCTCAATATGTTTATTAACCACAAAGAAGTAGTCTAGAAGAGGTATGTTTATGATGTACTCCCTGAATCTCTTCTCTAATAATATTTCCCATATCATTTTGTGACTGAGTGTTTACTTGTCTGTATCCCACTCTAAATGCAAGCACTATAGGCACAGCGTCCATATCCCTCTCGTTCACATTTGGATACCTCCACCATCTATCCCTGTGCTCAGCAAACAGTAGGCATTTAGTAGATATTGGGCAAGATACTGTCGTATCGCAGAGAACAGTGTTTATTTCTATTTAGGGTACAAGTGTGGGTTGAGGGGATTCGGAGAAAATTTTATAAAGAAAATAATGCTTCAGCTGACTATTAAAAGATAAGAAGAATTTTCTAAATAGGCAAAGTGAGAAAGGGGTTCTCAGGAGAGGAAGAAGATAGTAGAAAGGTGTGAAAAAAAAATGCATTGAGAAGTACTGACCTCACATTATACACTTTGAACTAGTGACTTGAACTATGACAACTGACAAAAATATATAGAGGTCAAAATCTAGTGCAGTTATGCTATTATAGTCTCTTAACCTCTAGAGAAGCTCTGTCTAATAAAAATATAAAGTGAGCCACAAATGTAAGCTACATATGTACTTTTAAATGTTTTAGTAGCTACGTTGAAAAAAATACAAAGAAATAAAATTAATTTTAATAAGATACATTATTTAACCAATATACCATAAGTATTATTTCAATGTCTATCCAACAAAAAAATTATTCATTACATATTCTACATTCTCTTATTTACTGTAAGTTTTCAAACTCCAGTGTGGCTTTTATACTTATAGCACATCTCGATTTGAACTAGTCACATTCAAGTGCTCAGTGACAATATGTGGCTAATGGCTGATATACTGGACAGTACAACTTTAGAGAATAAATGAAATCTTTAATAGTACAGTTAAGAAAAAATTTTTAAATGAAAATCTCAATCTTGTTAAATCTAAGAATTTATTTGTTGGTTACTGGTGTGTTAGCTATAGTATGTTATAAAGACCATTTTCTTGCATCTAAGCTTTTATGCCAGTTAGATAATCAGCAAAGTTTACATTTTATGTACTGTGTATTCATTAACCATACCATAGACACAACTACTCCTAGCTCTGTTAACTCTGGTTGTGGACTCTAAATGTAAACTGGCTTTATGGCAGAAATAAAACACTATACATTTGAGTTGAATAAGCTTTTAAAGAGTCT